TAATTTTGATACACTGGACATTTCGTTTAAAGTACTGGAAAGACGGAAGGTAATACCATCTGTAACCTTAATACACTGAACATTTTGTTATAAGCACTGGAGGGACAGTTAATACATGTTTTATTATAAGCACTAGTGATGCAGAGAGTAATATACTTTTTATCAGATTGATCACTTTATCATAATATATATTTCTTTGGTTGATGGGGATCACGAAAACATGATGAAAGTTACTCCTTGTATTTCATAAGAGTGTTATGGGAGGTTCTGACAATTCAGACGTTTTAGAAACTGGCAATAAATGATAAATTCAAGATCGCTTCCAAGATGACATCCTGAGGAGTAAATAACCATAACTCGTGTTCTAGAGCAGATAACACAATGATTTTGGTGTCTAGATACAGGTTTTAGTGCTCAAGAAAACCACTGGTAACATTAACAACAAAATCAGTCCTGACCCATTCGCAAGGGGTAAATAGCTATAACTCATGTTCTGGAGGAGAGAACAAAATGATTTTGATGTTAAAATATAGATTTTGGTGGATGAAGGAGTTACTTTATGTTGTATATTACTACAATCAGTCCTGAGCTCCAAAGATATTTAGAATGGTTATCATAATGAGAAAGTAGTTCATCTAGAACAGGGGATGTGTGATTGTGTATTGCTTTAAATAGCTGACGATAGACTGACAACACACTACACATCAAAAGCATATACTAACATTCAACAACAAAAACAGCATAAAAAGTTATCCTTTATTAAAATTCATCACACATTGTAGTGTTAGATTACTTGAAGTTAACCTATTTACTACAGAATCATTACATGTACGTATAACAAAATATACACACAGTTAGTGAACCAAAAAACATGTATGTGGTGGAGAAATATGTCATATCCCGTAATTCTATGTCACTCTCAGACCAGCAGTTCAATGTAAGGAACAACAATGAAGTAGTCATGTTGATGGTGGCATTGCCACTGGCACCCTTAAAACAACATTTGGATTTTTGCAAATTGTTCCATCTAATTGGAATCCTTTAAACTTGCAGTAAATGCAATATTGTAACCTGATCATGACGTAAACAGGGTAGTACACGTTGTCCATGTGTAACTCTGAGGTAGATCATCTGGCACTAGCTACTTGCACATATTTGGTACAGGCAGTCCATCTTCCTCCTTGAAGCCCAACCCTTTCGGGTTTAGATCAGGATTATCCAAACAATTCAACTGCAAATATGCAGCATAGAACGCGCGTAAAACATACCCTCTTATAACAAAGTTGGTTGGTGGCAGCTCAACAAATGTTATGTTCTTTGTAATAATGAAGCTGATCTATCGTTGTAGGGGACACCACATGTAAGTATCGGTACCAAGTATTCCTCTGTAGGGGACATCATTTGTAAGTTCCTGTACCAAGTACTCCTCTGTAGGGGACACCACTTGTAAGTACCTGTACCAAGTACTCCTCTGTAAGGGACACCATTTGTAAATACCTGTACCAAGTACTGCTCTCTATGGGACACCGCATGTAAGTATCTGTACCAGGTACTCCTGTGTAGGGGACACCACATTTAAGTACCTGTACCAAGTACTCCTCAGTAGGGGTCACCACGTGTATCAGTACCAAGTATTCCTCTGTAGGGGACACCATTTGTAAGTACCTGTACCAAGTACTCCTCTGTATGGGACACAACTTGTAAATACCTGTACCAAGTACTCCTCGGTAGGGGACACCACTTCTATATACCTGACCTGTACCAAGTACTCTTCTGTATGGGACACAACTTGTAAATACCAAGTACTCCTCTGTATGGGACACAACTTGTGAATACCTATACAAAGTACTCCTCCTTAGGGCACACCGCTTATAAATACCTATACCAAGTACTCCTCCATACGGAATATCACTTCTAAATACGAGTACCAAGTACTCCTTATGGGACACCACTTGTAAATACTTGTACCAAGTACTCCTCGGCAGGGGACACCACTTCTAAATACCTGACCTATACCAAGTACTCCTCCTTAGGGCACACCGCTTATAAATACCTATACCAAGTACTCCTTCATACGGAATACCACTTCTAAATACCTGTACCAAGTACTCCTCTGTATGGGACACAACTTGTAAATAGCTGTACCAAGTACTCCTCCGTAAGTGAGTTAATCCTCCATATGGCTCAAGTTCTTTCCAAAATCCTTCAAATAGACTAATGGGTTTGTTTTAGTGCATCAGTTTTAGTTCCTACTTTACGAGTTGTGTCACTCCCAGTTACAACATGCAAGGCAGGTAAAACTCTACACATTTCTGTTCGTAACTTGTAAATAGGTACCTACCTTGTAGTGTGTCCTACACCACCTCTCATTCAGAGTTCTTTCAGTCCTTGACGTAGAAGCAAACTGAAATAGTGATTACCCAGTACCATAACATCGATATCATTGGATAGTATGAAAATACGTTATATCATTTCAGCCTGAAACCAGCATTCTCAATATCAGCTTGCAGGTCTGGCTATGATAAGCCTACTGCTGTATTGGTGAATCCCCGAATTTTCAATGCAAATGGTTATAATACAATGTTAGGCTTCTTGAAACTGTTTGTCTCTGCTATATGGTGAATAAATAATGACATAAATAAGGAAAAGTCATTATATTTATTAAATCAAGACAAAACAAATAGAGCAGTTACTCCTAAGAAATAATTTGAACAGAAAATCAAGAAATAAGATACATTTTCCTTGTGGTAGCAATTGTGTTATTATACTTATAATAGTTTAGTATTCATTTATTGATATCTGATTATTTTTTTGCATTAATTCGAACATTTATTAAAGTTCCAGTCACATGAAATAGGCAACTTGAATAAGAATCACAAAACATATCAATGGACACCATTGTCTACTAAAAGGCACTTTACTGCATGTGACGATAGCCATCTTGCATTTCCCAAACAGCTGAGAACTAATTTCATTTTTACGTCATAAATGGATTCTTTGACCCCCATAATATATGTCTAGACACCTTAAATCGTTTTGCTATCTACTCTAGAACATGAGATATGGCTACTTACTCCTTTTGGTGGCCATATTGGCAACCATCTTGAATTTATCAGTTTGGTCAAAATTAATCTTGTTGTTAATTTGCCAGTGGTTTCCTTGACCCTCAAAACCTATATCTAGACATCAAAATCATTGTGCTTTCTGTTTTGGAGCATGAGTTAAGGTTATTTGTCCCTCATAGTAACCATCTTGGCGGCCATCTTGAATTCCTCCCTTATTGCCGGGTTCCAAAATGTCTACCCTACTTTTATGAACCTCATAGGCTACCCTTATAATATGTAAAGAGTAATTATTCGGACATCCAGATGTCCATAGGACCACCTCAGTCGTAGAACAATAAGAAGAGACAGAAGATGATACTTTTTATTTTATGTTTGATCATTGTATTATAAAAGTGTGTTATACCAAAGCCACATTGGGCTATCTGTTGTGTCCACCGCGGATAATCGAACCCCGGATTTTAGCACTGCAATTCCGTAGACTTACCGCTGTTTCACTGGGGGCCAATTATGAAGGAGAAAGAGAAAGAAAATAAAACCTTCTTAATTTTAACACTTTGAAGATTTTATCATAAGCAATGATGGTTTCTTTCTTTAATTGTTTTTCATTTCAGAATTTTTGTGAAAAGTTGCACAAACAGCGATCTGTGCACAGCTGTCTCTAATTTTCAACTGATAGACTAAACGAAAGACAACGAGTCAACAACACCCTCCGCCAACTCTTGGACTATTATTATCTACCTGAATAGCGCGATTTAACTATTACTTTTATTGCACATCCACAGCCCTAAAGTACGGAATGCGAGTTATGGGGGCAACGTTACACAAACCAGAAATCTGAATTATCAGTCTAGGCATGCTAAGGAATAGTCCACGTCCTACCATAAACATGGAATAACGAAGTCCCTCTTAACAAAGGTTACAGCTATACTGGTAGTGTATCTAACAAAGTTATTCGAAGTAAAAGCATAATGAGTATATTAGTACTTTATCTGTAAGGCTGTAGTTGTACTGGTAATGTATGCTCTTAGGATAAAATATATGGCAGTACAGCTAATTCGTCTAATGAAGACCAAGAAAGTAAAAGTTATAGCTGTCCTAGTAATGTGACTAAAGTTTCTCAGTGCCCCCAAGAGGCAAACATCCTGAGCCCGGGCCAATTAAAAGAATGAATAGGTTAAAATTTGTGATTTTTTAAACAATAAATTTTGAAACTTATTTCGAACATATACAGTTTGGTTTGGTTGTTGCTAAGTGCTAAGTTACAAAATGGAAGATCTATGCGCTACCAACCACAAGTATCGAAACCCTATTTTAGCTTCTTAATTCTGCATTTTTACTGAAGAAAGTTCGAATCTTTGCTAACAGGTGTCAGCTCTATGCTGGACGAAATACCAGCTTGTCTCGGTAGTCAGTTGGAGTTCGTTAGATGATAAGTCTACACGTGTTAAGTTTAGTTTAGTTTTCGCCAAGTTCTCTGCGTTGCAAGTATTGTTTTGCAATGTGAATACTTATACATATAAATCTGGATCTACTAAACTAAGAAAATTACTATACTAAACAGTTAATTACTATTCAATGTTCCTAAACTATTTCAATCACCTTCATATAAATATATTTTTATCCTAGACCAGGAAATTACACTTGGAGGTGGGACTGAAGTCTCAATAAGCAAAAACTGCGACGACGTTGATAATTTATCTAACGCTTTGAGTAAAAGTAATAACTCTACTGTTATTTTTTTTAAAGTCACTATAAGTAAATACTGTGACTGTTAAAATGTGACGTTTAATCCCACTATTCATTGGTAAGGAGTATCCTAAGAGTTGGCGGTGGGTGATATTGACTAGCTGTATTCCCTCTAGTCTTTCACTATTAGATTAGCGCAGACAACCCTAGATTAATTTTGCATGAAATTCAACAAACAAATATACTTACCTATAGTTTCAAAGTGTCTGTTTTCTTGAACAATGCTGCTTGTAGGATCAAAAATATTTAAACAGCGACTCTGCATCAGACGACGAACTCCATGCAGATCATCTAAATAGTTCTGAACAACATTGCGGATGGATTTCGAACATATCGTCAGTAAACTCAAATCTTCAACTGTAAAACCGGAAATAAATACCTTTCCAATAATCCCAAGTGTAATAATAACTTAAAAAATGGTAATTTCATATAAGCAAAATACATTAAATCATCTGACGTGACCTTCAAACTGTATTTCCAAAAATACATAACAAAAAAGTATATAACGCAAAAATCCTCACAACAAATCACGTAGCGCCTTAACTTCACGTCTGTAAATTCAACATGTTAAAGATAAAATTCATGGATAATCACGTGCATTGTTAAAAAAAAAAAAGTAAAGCCATTATCAGTTAGAAGCAAAAGAGAATAAGTGTTTTGCTGCTAAAACTTGAGTAGGCTTAGTGTTCTGCGGGTGTAGTTGTAGGGAATACATAGAGTCGAGAAAATGATATTAAAACGACTTTTAAAATGCAAATCGGCAAATCACGTAACAACTACAGCTGATATAGTCCCGGTGGAACCGCACGTATAAGAAGTACATTTTGACGTTGTTTGTCGTCCGTAAATAGTTATATGTCACCAAAAATTGATCGCTTTGGGGAAGAGTAAGTAACAGTTCTTTTCAACGCAAAATATTCACATCATAAAGACTTGGAATTTTCAAAACGGGAATATCCCTTGTACTAAATAACATTGAAAAACAAAGGAATATCAATCGACTTTGGATACAAGGAACATCCAGAAAAATCGTACCCCAGCCGTGGGAAGCAAGGTCAAGTGTCTTGTAACAACTGAGTTTCAATGAGATTAACGGTCAGTGGCAAACAGAGGTTAAACTGGGATTTTCAAAATTTTGACATCCAATCAGAAGACCAGGAACGCTAACGGCTTGAATTTGACATCCAATCAGAAGACCATGAACGCTGACGGCTTGAATTCTCAAGATGCAGAACTCAGTTTCAGACCATTCCGCTCCAATTTAGCTCCTTGTGGCAAAAGTCAATGTGTCCCAAGAAACAGTCCGGAACATAATCAAGTAGGAACTCATTCTAGAAGAAGTGACGTGTGCACAAGTTGCTTTTAGGACAGGTCCATTCAACCGTCACAAACGGGGTATATGGGTATTAAGGCTATTCCATATGAATACTTAATGAATTTTTGTGCGATAAGTGTTGAATCGAGTGCTGGGAAACCGTCGTCTAGACGGCTGCGTTTTCGATATGATAGCCTTATAACTGGGCCATTTACAATAGAAACTACGCTGCAGAACTATTGTCAAGTTGTACCGTCGTCAGATACAGCATGAGCGAACGTGGTGGCATGGGCTGTAGCGACGTTGTGAAACGCCAAAATCGTTTTAATATAAACTTTTTAGTCTTCTTTGTTTTAAAATAAACTTAAAATAAGGATTTTTTTTTAAGATATGAAACTTTAAGAGAAACTTGAGTATATTGAGTATTGTGTTATTTAAAATACAATACAATTCTGTTACAATTTAAATATCTGTAATGTTAATGTGTGTTGTTAAAATATTCCTTTTTGACTCCTGCCACACGAGTATTTTCAGTACTAAACCTAGGATGGTGAACATTCCGGAAAGTGGTAATGTAGGGTTATTTTGATATATCTCAATAAATGAAACTTGGCACAACTTCTAAAACTGAAAAACAATTATATATTAATGAAAATATGACATGACGAAATCTACATGTTTGCTACTAAGGTGGTACCACACTGAAAATTATACCATCCTTTTTATACTTACTTTTACTTGCAGAAATGGCATTTTTAACTTGAGAATCGCTAGGGAAATCATATTGTAATGCATCTTGCACAGTGGCACAGCTGTATGTCTACGGACTTACAACGCTAGAAACCGGGTTTCGATACCCGTGGTGGGTAGAGTACAGCCCATTGTGTAGCTTTGTGCTTAACTTCAAACATACAAACTTTTTTTTATGGCAATGATACTATTGTAACCATTCTTTTATGTTTCGTTGTCAATGCATTATTAATTGATGAATCTCTGACTCAAATGGTAGTTGGATATCGTCGAATAAATTTTTCCCTCGTCCAACCTAAACCCCCGGTTTAACTTAATCGCTACACTTAAACCATCACATTCACAATCACATCTAGAACATTTCAAGCTTGTTTCACTTGAACCATCACATTCACTACCACATCTAGAACATTTCAAGCTTGTTTCACTTAAACCATCACATTCACAATCACATCTAGAACATTTCAAGCATGTTTCACTTGAACCATCACATTCACAACCACATCTAGAACATTTCAAGCTTGTTTCACTAAAACCATCACATTCACAAACGCATCTAAAACATTTCAAGCTTGTTTCACTTAAACCATCACATTTACAACCACATCTACAACATTTCACTAAAACCATCACATTCACAACCAAATCTAGAACATTTCACTTAAACCATCACATTCACAACCACATCTAGAACATTTCACTTAAACCATCACATTCACAACCACATCTAGAACATTTCACTTAAACCATCACATTTACAACCACATCTAGAACATTTCACTTAAACCATCACATTTACAACCACATCTAGAACATTTCAAGATTGCTTCACTTAAACCATCACATTTACAACCACATCTAGAACATTTCACTTAAACCATCACATTCACAACCACATCTAGAACATTTCAAGCATGTTTCACTTAAACCATCACATTTACAACCACATCTAGAACATTTCAAGCTGGCTTCACTTAAACCATCACATTTACAACCACATCTACAACATTTCAAGCTGGCTTCACTTAAACCATCACATTTACAACCACATCTACAACATTTCAAGCTGGCTTCACTTAAACCATCACATTTACAACCACATCTACAACATTTCAAGCTGGCTTCACTTAAACCATCACATTTACAACCACATCTAGAACATTTCACTTAAACCATCACATTCACAACCACATCTAGAACATTTCAAGCATGTTTCACTTAAACCATCACATTTACAACCACATCTAGAACATTTCAAGCTTGTTTCACTTAAACCATCACATTTACAACCACATCTAGAACATTTCAAGCTTGCTTCAATTAAACCATCACATTTACAACCACATCTAGAATATTTCAAGCTTGTTTCACTTAAGCCATCACATTCACAAGCACATCTAAAACATTTCAAACTTGTTTCACTTAAACCACCACATTCACAACCGCATCTAGAACATTTCAAACTTGTTTCACTTAAACCATCACATTCACAACCACATCTAGAACATTTCAAGCTTCTTTCACTTAAACCACAAATTTCACAACCACATCTAAAACATTTCAAACTTGTTTCACTTAAACCACCACATTCACAATCACATCTAGAACATTTCACTTAAACCATCACATTCACAATCACATCTAGAACATTTCACTTAAACCATCACATTCACAATCACATCTAGAACATTTCAAGCTTGTTTCACTTAAACCTTCACATTCACAACCACATCTAGAACATTTCAAGCTTGTTTCACTTAAACCACCACATTCACAATCACATCTAGAAAATTTCACTTAAACCATCACATTCACAATCACATCTAGAACATTTCAAGCTTGTTTCACTTAAACCACCACATTCACAATCACATCTAGAACATTTCCCTTAAACCACCACATTCACAATCACATCTGGAACATTTCACTTAAACCATCACATTCGCAATCGCATCTAGAACAAAAATCCGATCCACTTAATGATAACAAAAACATTTTATTTTTTCATCAGCTTTTTAAACTTCTTGTCTCTCCTTTTCTCTTTGCTCAACTGCATGCTGCAATAACTTCCTATCTCTCCATTGACTCGCTACATTGCATGCTGCAATAACTTCTTGTCTCTCCTTTGTCTCGCTCCGTTGCATGCTGCAATAACTTCTTATCTCTCCTTTGCCTCACTCCACTGTATGCTGCAATAACTTCTTGTCTCTCCTTTGGTCTCACTCCACTGTATGCTGCAATAACTTCTTGTCTCTCCTTT